AATTCTGATCCTACTAGAACTCCTACTGGCCGTCAATTTGACGAGTGACATTTTCCCCAATCGGAACGCACGAGCAGTGATGATGTCAACAACTGAGATGGTTCTAGTGTGCGATATAAACCCATTGTGGGTATGTAGACCTTCAAACAGGTCTAATATATATATTTTTTTCAAAGGCTGTATTGTATCATTTGCTATTATTTATTATTTGTGTTCTAAATTTATGTCAAAAATAAATCCGTAGAGTAAGACTGCTTTACTGCATAGGTTCAAAGTTTGAAATTACGATTTTATTTACAGAAATCGATTCCCCACAAACATTTCCCGCAGACCGCCTTTTCACACTTATGAAAAACGTAATATTAGTTGTTTTTTTTTTGCGCAGTGCTGAAGCACGTGGCGCTGCTTTCTGTGCCTCGCCAAAGCTGCTCCTCAGCGGCGGAGGGGCTGGAAACCTGCGGTTTGCTACAACTGCTTTACCAGTTCAAGGATAAAATCTCTGCATGAAAAGGCGACATTCAAACAGCTCCTGAACAAAACCAATGCGTTTATAGCTGATATTTCAAGGAGATCATAAATATCAGCCACAGGCCACCTTCGCATCGGAGGTTTTACAGAATCCTTTCTAATCATCTATTCCGACACATCCAGCCCGACCCGTGTGTGGTTATAGTAGACTAGGGGTTTTGGTTTGGCTTTTGGGAAGCTGAGTGTACCAGCTGAGGTGTAAGTGGTGCTTGAACAAAAGTTTTACTATTGTCTGATGGGTCACTGATACGTCTGCGTGTTCCAGGATGACTCGCTGTCATATACCCCATTTACACTACCCTAAAAAACCGTGCCAAGACAGTTTCAAGCTCAGTAACAGAGATAACTTATCGTGTGTAAATGGAAAGCAAACTGAACTGAACCGAGCTAACTGCAGACCAGTTCCAGAGGTGGGCTCGGCTCGGTTTTTCCCTGGCTCAGTTCTCTGATAACGAGAGCGCATGAGCAGAACGCGTCATCTCCGTCTTGCTGCACATCCCGATTGACACTCCATTCCAGTAGTTGGCGCTAATGCCCCTCCGGAAGTTGCTTGCCGACCAACACAAAACAGAAGAAGAATAGCTAAGTTAAGCCGACTTTCTCAAGTAAATCCACGAAAGGTTGCTGTCTTCGCCTGACACTCCGTAAACACCGAAGTACAGCAATAATAATCAAGCATAACT